TTACTGAAAGCCTAGGCTTTCAGCTTCATTAGACAAAATCTAATCAGGCTCTGGTAGAACGTAAGAGAAAGATAAGATTTTACATTTTGGTTGGAGTCTTTGTGGCTCTGTTGGTAGAAGAGCTGCCTGGATTAGGAGCTGTGATGGTTTGGGGATGTATTTTAGCCAAAGGAGTTAGAAAATGGGAAAAAATTGATAAAACTGGAATTTTCAAAGAATAAGACTCACTGAGAGGGGTTTTTTTTTATCTTATTTTAACACAATCCCAATCACAAAAAAGGAGACAATTCAATTGAAATTATTGATTGGACTCTAAAATCCAGAACTGGACAAGGAGTGGCTCAAGCAACAGCTCACATCTTCACAAAGAATTTATTCATTTGGGTTGTTTTTTTTTTCTGCATGTAAATACTGACCCTTTGACTTTTTTTTTGACAGAATCTTTGGACACTTCACTTCTTCCACTGATTTTCTGCTTTTGATGACCAACCAAGTGCTTTCACACCACATGTCATTCATCCATTCACACCTAGTTTTTCACACAGTGCGTCTTCACGACACCTTTCCTGTCAATTTCCACGCGCACTCTTGCAGCTTAGGTAACAGAGCGAGAAGTGTGAAGTGTCTCGTCTAGGGACACATTGGCATGTAGTCAAGTGAATTTATTGCAAGTCCTATTTTTAGGCCTTTTGTTTTCAATACGGTGTTATTAACACATCGGCTGGGTCTTGGCACAACACTGATATATTCAGTTATTTGATAAGGACGGTGGAAAATTGCACAATACTGAATCAACATGTAGACATGTCATGTAGCTGCTGTGAGGGGTAAATGTAATCACCAGGTGGTAGATGGTTTAGGACGTATTACCATATATAGAGTGTCTGCATTATAACTGACGACATAATGAAAAAGCCACAGATAAGGAAGGGTTGAATGTGTATTTTATACAGTGACACCAAAGGCAAAGTAAATTGGAAAATATATCTATGTATGTATAAATACCAATGTTTTTAAACTGTATTAGGAGGTGAAAAATATGACGGATCTTACTGCCGTCCCTCAGTGTATACTCAGGGTTGTGTTGTGTGAGTGTGTGTGGCTGGTAATGCTGTACGTGTGGAGACTTTTTCATTGAAACGTGGGGAGAATATTTTAAATTTAAAGGTTTAGTTTGGAGTCAGGATTATTTGTTTCAGAGTTCAGCCAGAGTAAGGATTAATGAGGATTTAAATTAGGCATATGTTTGTAAATGTTACGGTTAGGGAAATGGACTCCCAATATGTAGATCACAGGCTACAGGTAGATTATGAATGAAAAAATGAAACGAAAATTAAATATTAATATAAATCTGTAGTGTGTATTAGTAATGTCATTGCGCTATACAGCTGCATGCATTTAATATAAAGAAAATTAAAATATATTTTGTTCAATATCTTAGGTAGATCATTTAACCATGTCGTTTAAAAATGGGAGCTCCCAAGCTAAAGACGTGCGGTCCCCCTGGTTTAAGGGCATGTCTTATGTCCATGTGCAGTACTCAAAAAACACAAAAACCAGATTGTGTGTGTGTGTGTGACTGCATGTGTATATTTGGCATAATGGTTATTAAGAATACTGCTCAAAGGAAATATAAAGATCGAAACGTCCGTATCCATCTAAAGGTCTGATTTACATTTTACTTTCCTACATCTGCCAGTCATTACTGAGTAAAGCAGTAGAACAGACATATGTCAACGACAAATGAACAACTCGCACAATTACACTTTTCCTCCCTCTTTCCTTCATTTTCTCTATCTCTCTCTTTCTTTTTTCTCCATCGTTCTCTAACGTCTGGCCTTTGTCCCGACTTCAGTCCACAGGTACGATCTGAATCTGAACCTATGGCATCACTTTGACCATAACCAGTTACACAGGCAGCAGAGACTGACAACTACAGCATAGTTTCAACAATTGTCATCAAAGGTAATGCAGCCTCAAATAAAGCCCTGAGTCATAAGGACCAGGATTTACTGCTAAAAAAAAAAAAAAAAATTGTAAATTATAAAAAGCTTTAAAATAAGAGCCTCCACCCATACTCCCCCCACCCTCACCCCCAGCCCCAGCACACAGACATTCACACGCTATGAGGAAATTTCCTTTACTAATTGAGCAACCAATTAGGTTAAATGGACTGAGGGAAAAATATGTTGCACGTATGTATAAAAAATATGCCTTTATTTATATAACTATATTTATAGTTATATAAATAACATGTATTTATAACATGTATAATTAGCTAAAACTAGATATTGTAATGTGGAATGACATTAAATAACTGCCTTAAAAATACGGATTCATAATTTACACGCAGTAAAAAATATATAATTTAATACAAGTTATTACAATGAAACGATGCTTTTTAGTTGTCGCTGACCCGTTAACGTCTGTTCAGTCCAACTGTGACAAATGGAAGAACCCGCGGCTCAACGACGACAATAACGCAGAGAATTGGATGTGAAACTGATGAGACGCCATTAAGATGGATAAACAGCCATTATTTCCCCATGTGAGTGTGTTGTTGTGAAACTGTCGTCTGCTGTTCATGCTTTACTGCGGAGTAAATAAAGCCTCGGACCCGCACGTGGATGCGTCAGTGAGGGGTTCTGGTCTCAGGTGCGTCTGGTCTCTCGCACCTTTCACAGGCGACACCGTGAGAATAATAAAAACCTGGGGATTCTGCGTCTCGAGTGTGTGTTGATGTGAGAGCGGCTGCTGCAGGTGAGAGGCTAACCTGTTGTTCTCAGCAGGAGGAGGAGGTGGTGGTGGAGGAGAACTCAGCTCCGGGTCTCGGTCAGCGGCGGCTCTCCATTCCGGTGGATGAGAAAAAACATCAAGCAGGACGCAAAGAGACGCGCGGCTTCTTCTCCTCAACTCCTCTCTGATACGAACCCACAGACCCTGTCGTGAGGAGGAGCAGCAGGAGCAGTGAGAAGGATGAATGTGTTTGCGTCTGACTGACTGGCTGGCTGAGCCGGGCACACCTCACACCCTGGCTGTGCGCTTCCTCCTCCTCCTCGTCCTCCTCTTCCTCCTCTTCCTCCTCCTCCTCCCCCTCCTCCCCCTCCTGCCACGCGCAGACATTCAGCCTGTGTAGTACCCCGTCGCTACTGGCAACCTGTTGCCATAGCAATCCTTCAGGTAGGCTATGTATGAGTAGTCCAAAAGAAAGAGGAGGTAAGGTGTGGCCCTCCTCACTTCTATCACACCATTTCATGTCCTATTAAATCTGAGGGTTCCACGATCACAAATGAGAGGAAACGCAGGAAGTGGTTACTCAGTGAAGGTCAAGGCTGACATCACGCCTTGACTGAGAACAGTTTCAAATCTGCAACTGATTCACAACTGGAAATCAGGGCTCCTCTGCTCACCCCTCACTTCACAGGCAAACTACAAATCAATACAGTGTCCTGGTCCTAAGGACATCAGTTAAGGTTTGAACTGCCTCACAACCGTAGAAGTGAAACATGGCATCTTCTGTCTTTGCTTGACCACAGTATGGAGAAGCGGAGATTTTGTAAACAGCGCTGTGTGAATTTCTTCTGCTCACAGACATTTACTTCAAAATCATCTTTCACAAGCTACTAAATAAACTTTGCAAAAATGCTTCAAAAAGACAAATGCAGAATAAGATTCAGCACCATGGACAGCTCCACCCAACTCAGCTGCTCAAGAAGCTACAAAAACATTATTTCAAATCTCGCTTTTTCCTTTATGTAGATTTAAAAAGACTTGGTTGTTGAAATAAATTTACATTTATCTGTTTAACCTAAAGTCGTAAGGGGAATAAAACTGATAAAATACTTCCCTTTGCTTAAAGCAGGAACTTAGAAGTCATCATACAGAAATCAATTGTGTCAGACCATATTGTTAACATGGTATGCCATGCTGGTCTGGTATTCACCACTTTATGATGTGAAAGTTAAAATTTAGATAGAAATATATATATATATATATATATATATATATATATATATATATAATTTGTGAGAGAAGAATAGAAACAAAGTTAAAGATTTAAAAATCAGTAGTGAGACCTGCTATGATGTATGTTTCAGAGACTGTGGTCCTGTTGAATAGACAAAAGGCTGGGTTGCAGGTGGCAGAGACGGAGATGGTGAGATTCTGGTCACTACCAAAATGGACAGGATCAGAACTGATCAGATCAGAGGGACAGTTAAGGTGGAGCAGTTTGAAGATGAAGTCAGAGAGGTGAGGTGGAGATGGTTTGGACATGTGTTTGGGGGACAGAGAGTGAACAGATCAGACAAAGGATGTTAGGGATGGAGCTGCCAGGAAAGAGGAGCAGAGGAAGATCTCACAGCAGATTTGTGGATGATGTAAAAGAGGACATGGAGATAGTTGAAGTGAAACCTGTAGAGGCAGCGTATATAGGGTGAGATGGAGGCAGGTGATTTGTTGTGGCGACCCCAAGGATCAGGCAAAGACGAAGAAATGTCTCCATTCTTTCCCTGAGAAAAGGCCATGTGTCGCATGTGCCACACACTCTATTTGGAAATTAAAGCAAAAGCTCAAAATGCTATTGTGCGGCTAGGCTAGTGTAGCACGTAGCTCTTGTGCCTTTCATCATGCAGTATTTGCCCATTGTACGGCTGACAATCAATTCTTTTCTGCCATTTTAATCAACTTGCTAAATAATGACACATAGGCCTTAAAGTTTACCCTGGATTTAATCCTTTAACTTCTTGCACGACTAAAATTGACATTATATTTAATTTGAAGTGCAATTACATAGTTTTGAATAAATATTTAATACGATTCAAAGAACGCTGGCGGTGCCCTGATAAAAGGATTAACATAATTTGATCATTTAAGTGCCCTGGAGATGATCCAGAATGTCTGTGAAACATTTTTCACGGTGATAAACAGGCAACTATAAAAGCAGACTTTCCTCTGCACGGAGAACGTCGTGATGCGTGGGTTTTACAAAATGATTGGAATGCAGTAAGTACAAATGAAATATTACACAAAATATGTTAAATAGTATGTTTGAGTCATGTAAGCAGTTGGATTCTTGAAGGGACTAAAGGATAAAGAGAAGGAGGCAGAGGGAGGCACATGATCTCCTGTGGTAAATCATTACGGACAAATCCAAAGTGATAGGTACTGTATGTGTTATACACAATTTATACGTAGCTTCTCTAAAGGTGTACTGCAGTACCTACGTACATCAGAACACATCAGGAAAACCCCATTTATTGAAGTACAAACTTTCATTATTGCTCAATCCTTTGGAAAAGGAAACAATAAGAATCAAAAATACTTTATTGATCTCCAGATGGAAACTGTTGAGGTTTATGTACCTGCTAAAGCTGTTCTGTCTCCTGATGCTGTAAGATCTGCCTCTAAGTTTGACGTGTTTTGCATTCAGAGATGGTCATTTGCATACCTCAGTCGGCCTTCCTGTGCTCCTAGACCACAAGGTATTTTTTTCCTGGAGCTGCTGCTCACTGGATCTTTGATCTTTCCCAGCGTCGTCCTTTGTGAACCTGTAGGTGAGAACCCCAGTCGGATCAGCAGGGTCTGAAATACTTAGACAAACCATGTCATGACTAAAGCCAGCTTTTCTTAAGCCTGAAGCTCGGGCAGAGATGTTGACTAGATGTTGGCTCTTACGGTCTCTGAATGCTCAGGATTAGAGTTCAGGATTATCTGGAGCAGGGGTGTCAAACTCAAACTCACAGTGGGCCAGAATAAAAATTAGGATGAAGTCATAAGCCAAACTTAATATTTATTGAAAAATTGACGGCAATTGCGCATATTTTCCTTCTCCAGATCTGTAATATAAAATTTTTTCATGTGGAAACAAACCTTCGTTTTGCATCAACATTGAATCTGGAACAACCAAAACTTAATATTATAAACACATGAGAAATTAAATTTGAAATAAAACACCTCAGTGGTATTTGTTTCTTATTATGTCTCCCTATCTCAAGTTCCTTTAAATGAAAATCTTTTTCCACAGGCAAAAAAATATATAATTACACTGTGGGCCCGATTTTGCCCGCAAGCCAGAATTTGACTTGAGGTAAACCGCTGTAATTCTGAAGTTTGAATTTTAAATGTAAGCCCATGCACAGCCACAGGTTTTTGTTTACAGGAGTTGAGTTAAGTGAGCATCTTAATATCTGAGATCCAGTCTAATATATCAGAGTTGCAGATGCTGGACCAATCCTTCTCAACAGGCGTACTCCCCTGACAAGTAATCTAATCTAATCTCAATTTGATTTTAAGTTTCCTGCAGTGACTCGGTGAAGTGACTTGAATTCAAACCTGAAAACAAATGGGACAAGACTTGTAGGTGTCTCAAACTTTCTCAAGTGACTTGGATTAGAAATCCTGGGGACTGATTGTGTAACTCTGTGAACTGAACTCAGGATGAAATGAGAGTTGATCTGGATCTGGGGTTACACTGTATCAGACTGAGAGGGAATGGATCAAGGCCTAAAACCATGTGTGCTGGAGACAGGTTTAGATTCAGGGACCCAGACTTTAAGATTCAATACTGACCCCACTGACACAATCTTGGACTTGGGCTCCAGCCTCCAGCCTTGTCTAGTTCAGGTCTGTTTTTGTCAGTGAATTTGATGTGTGAAAAGGAACTTTCCTGTTCTCACCAGGTTTTGAAGACTTTGGACTCCAGACTCAGAGAGGAACCCTCAGGAATGGTCTATAATGAACATGAAACAAATGTATCCATTTATAGATATTTAAGTTGATTAACAGACTAAAGGTTCAATATCAAATGACGCTCTGATAAGAACTGGCATAAAAACAACCCACCCCCGTGTTTGTCCTTCTCTACGTTGAAGTTGTTTTTCCCTCTGTCTCGACACTCAGGGCATTAATCCAATCAGAACTCTTTGTGGATGAAACCGTCCATGAAGGGTCACAGAGTGACTTTGCAAAGCTGTGGAAGAAAAGACAAGAGGAAAATAAAAATCTGGGTCATGTAATGTAGCGCAGCATCTCCCCTTAGTGGAGATTACAAAGAACTGCAGGAAAAAGACTAGTTAATCCATCTAAATTAGAAAGGTTGGATAGATGACGATGAATAAATAGACTAAAGAGCAATCCAAGATCTAGAAGCACAAGTAATCCCTTTACTTCACTGATAAAATATAACTGAATGAGTGTGTATCCAAATTATACACTCCAGCTCAGTGTAACTATAAATACTTTTGATCAAATGGTAAGATCTGCCATTTAAACACGAATCACTGTCAGATATAAAGATATCTTCATTTGACTAGAACGAACTCCAAAATTGTATGAAATGAGAAACCGTACTGGAGTGGCCTCACTGTCCCCAATGTACAATGTGTAAAATTAGCAACATCTAGTGGTAAGGATACACGCTGCAGCTGAAATCCATCAGGGTTTCTCCCAAACATGATAAATAAATAATAAATAATAAAAATGCAGACGATTTATACACAAACACAAAGTAAATACTACTACTACTAATACTACTGATTTACACTACATACTATTAAATTATTGTCCCTGTTTAGAGAGAGCCAGATATGTGTTATTTGAAATATCTGATCTGAAACCAATAGTCAACTATTGGAACCCTCTCTCACAGCACACCCCACCCCTGACCCTCACTCCAGGTTATTACGTAACATCCCACCAGAGACACAGTGGACAGCGTGGCTGTGAAAGACTGGATCAGGAGTTATGGATTGGACAGAAACGAACACCCAAAGCATCTGATTGGTTCGTGCTGCTGTTCAGCTGTGGTAGTTTCTCAGTCATGAGGCAGAGATCAGAGAACAGTGAGAATCTATTGCTGCACACGTGACCTCAGTGTGGATGGATGAGACCAAAACCAGATTTTTGGAGGCATCACCTGTAACTGATAACTCCTCTAAGACAGTTCTCGCTGTTAATCATGTCATGCCTTCACAGGACACGTTGTAACGTCTTCTTAATTTTAAAAATAATCATAATTCTAGATGCAGTATGTGATTTTGCAAGAACTCAAACTTTGAAGTGGAGTTAAAAAACACGATACAATTATATCAATGGATATATATATATATATGTATGTAAAAATAAATTGAGGAGGCAAAGGCTTTTGTCTGTGGTTAAAAGTTAAATCTGAAATTGTTTTTTTTAAATCACAGGGTAAGCAATTTAATAATTGTTAGAAAGTATTGACGACCTAGTAAAAATGTTAGCGTTAGCTAACGAGGCCAAGGCATTAGATCTATAAAAACCGAAGCCAAAGAAGATTAGAACGTTGCCAAGAATACAGCAAAAACCTCAGAGCTATTCACAAGCATTTGATAGCTCAGCTTGTAAAAATGTTGACAGTAAATGTATTCATTTTGCCAGGGCTAATAGAAAAAAAATTACCTTGAGCTACAAAACAATTACCCAAAAAACAAATTCTACAGGGACATAATAAGGAAGATCATTTTAACCAATAGTTGACAGGACAAAATGTCCGACAATTTATTCCGGTTTCCTCCACAAATACATTCTATTCATCGGACTGCCAGTCGCTCCTGGCCATTCATCCTACAGCAGCCAATTTTGGCTTCAGCTGTATGGCGACAGAGTACAGAGAAGAGATTATTTTTGTCGTCTTACATAAAAAAAAACATTACACAAGAGATAACTGTGTCTTTTGGGGCAACATTAGGTGTCCTGCAGCATTAGGAATTCTGCTGATAATTCCTAATCTTCCTGACAAAAAACCTGAGAGGATTTACGAAATCAAGCTGCCAGGTTTGCCGACACCTCATCAAGCATCGTCAGGGGCTCGACCTCCGGGGTTGTGACCTTTGAGAAGATAGGCTCAGAATTTTCTAATCCCCCTCCAGCTGCTAAAATAAATGACAATGTGTGTGATTTGTGTACGACATGTGTTAAAGGGTAACACACTGATACTGATCTGCTGATGTCAACACTGTTCACAGCAAGAAGATTCCTGCGGCAAATTCTGCAGGAGATAAGACGTACTGTTTGGAATACAGAGGTTGGTGAGGGAAGTTATCACAGCGCAGAAGAAAAGCTGCAAAATATATTAAAAGATAAGTAGGGGAAAATGGAATATTATTTTAAAGAAAATATCTAGTCAAAATAATACTGAAGAAAAATGTACCTCAAATAAAATATATCTCAATTAGATTTAATGGATATATTCTTTGAGGGTAGTCATTATAACATTTTAAAGTTATTATTTATTTATATTTGTATTTATTTATTCATGAATTCATCTTTTATTGCTTAATTCTTTTCAGGGTCACAAGGTTGAGCGTGAGGATGTGGGTGGGCAGTGTAGGACTGGAACCCTGAAGAACAAAGGTCAGACAGCACGCGATGGACTGTGAACGTCCCACAGCCTCATATATATGTAAATGTGTGGTTAAGCACTCTCACACCATACGATTTATTATATCATAACCTGCTTTAACATATGTACTTTATATACTATTTAGTATATATTTTGTATATTGAAATTTACAATTTATATTTATATTTGATATATATGAAAAAACACATATATAACTATATAAGTAAGTGTAAATACAGTATATATATAGTATAGATAATATAAAATAATATAATTAATTATAACTAACATTTATTTACATTTAATTATATAATAACGTATATAATCAATATACAAATATATTTAAATATATTATTTAATATTAATATAAATTTATTAAAATTCATATATATTTTAAAATATATATCAATATAGTGTATATATGAGGCTCATTTCAATAAAATATATTCCATTATCAAGCTTTTGGGGGTGGGTTGGGAGGTTGTTATATTTTTGCTACATTATGGTTGCTTACTACTGCTGTGTATATTTACATAAACATATATACATATACATATAAATGTATCATATATATACATATACATATATACATATACATATATTTATATATACAGTATATACATTTACATGTATATATATACAGTATATACATATAAAACATACAATAATAACATATAACATGTATCTTTAGTTACACAGCCAGTGGGCTGTACACTGACCAATACTGTTGATGGTGTTTAAACTTAATTGTAAAGTTTTATTTATTATAGAAACTAACTTTTCTCTTGAGCAGCCTTAGTTTATCTAGACATTTTTTGGTCTTAAAAGTTGACCTTATTGACAGTGAAAAAGAGAGAGGATTTTTTGGGGGGTGGAGGGTCGGAGGGGTCATGGGGAGGTCTAGGCTCAAACAAAGACAGATTGAAACAGAAAGACAAAACAGTGTTTGGATGAGGAAAAGAAAATGACCTCAGGCTCAAACAAAGAAACAAGCCAAGTTTAGCCAGTGAGACAAATGTATAGTGAGTGTAAGGAGAGTACAGAGAGACAGGTCGGGTTGGCAGAGGAAAAACAAATTCAGGCTGAGACAGTGAGGTGGCTGCAGGCACAGGTTAATTCAGAAGGATGGCATCTGAATGCAGAATGAAGAAGAATCTGGAAACTGGATACACCGAAAAAAAGAAAAGTCTGTGGAGGACAGAGCAGAGTCTGGGATTGTTTGGGGCATGTCCTGCTGCCGGTGATAGGTTTAAGGAAACAGAACATTGAGCTAAGACTCATTAAAAAAGAAGAAGCAGAGGGACGATGTACCAAAATGGAAGGTGACGACATGTATGGTCAGACAAGGGAGGTTAGCTGAATACAGACAAAACATGAGACAGTTCCAACAGAGAAACTGATGAACTGGTTGACAGGAGAAAATAACTAATGAGAGAGCAGTCCAGATAATGAGGAAACAAGATGAATAACAAAAAGGATTTGACATCTCGTGGGATTCTCATTGGTGGGTGGAGGAGGATTACAGGAGCACGGGGTTGGCTGAGAGTGGAGGATGTGGAAGTAGAGAGTAGCCTGTGAGTTTTTTTAGGAGGTGAAGCCTGAAAGATAACAAGCAGATGAAGAGAAATGTTGTATATTTATCAATGTGACCCTCACCTCAGCCGCAGGTTCCAGTGCAGAGACAGGAAGTTACTGTAATTGAAGGACAACCGAGATAATGTTAATACACAAGTTCGTAAACTAAAGCAAAGAAAGTTCTTGTTTTACCTAACAGGTCTTGTTCAGGTCAAGTGTGTTGTGATCAAAAGATAAATAATAGGTGGTATCATTGTATAATGGATAAAGGAAGGACATTTTTAGTTTACTATTATTTTATAATGCAACTAGTCCAGTGGTTCTCAAACTGTGGTACGCGTACCACCAGTGGTACACGAGCACTCTCTAGTGGTACATGGGAAAAATTCATATTTTCACATTTTCAATTGAATAAATCTGAAACATACAATGCACAATTAATACAACACTTAAACATAAACATCTTTCTAAACATTTCTAAACATCTCTCCTGTGGTGGAAGCTAACAGGGAAGGCCTATGCTGCTGTATTCTAATGTTGGTCATCATGGTGGTACTCTGAGAGCTCAGTGTTTTCTCAGGTGGTACAAAAGGTGATCACTGATCTAGTCTATTGCATCTTCAATAAATATTGAAATAACTTAACTTGAAAATAAGACAAACTAATTTAAAATGGTTTGTAAAGCACTAGCAGATCATCCTTGTTCTAACGTAGTGCCCCCCTGAGACTGGAAAACATTTGGGGTAAATGCAGGTGTGAACAAATGAGACAATTTCCTGGAGATGATGATGGAGATCCAGCCTCCATCCTCCGGTTCCTTCATCATCCCGCCTGCTCCACCTACAAAGCCTTCAAATTAAGTTCATAACCATTCAGCTCAGTGTGAGAAAGTGCCTCAACGACCGTGCACTCCAAACTTTTCATCAGAGTTTCCACCAGAGTCACTGTGAACCCTCACTCACATTAAGCATTAGGACACTAAAAG